TATATATATCACTTGATACATTAACAAAAATTATAATATATGTTAACTTAAATAATTGTATAATTTTAAAACATTATATATATCTACATATTAAAATTATTAAATTTTTAATGGCGACCAACTGGAACACTAAACTGAGGTCTGAAACAGACCCAAAAGGCTCTAGCGAGCACAACAGTGGCGGCATGGCGGACTTCCGGCGACCAGGAGGCGGCGCGTGAGACACACGCGCTTGACGGACAGACACTTGTGGCGGCGCGTGTGAGCGCGTGGAGGCTTGGATGAGCTCGAAACCAGCAGGGTTGGGTTGTGCTCAACGAGGCGCACCAAACCCTAAGTTCGCCGAAGAATTTGGTCGCCGGAGGTGGCGGCGGACGGTGGCCGGCGGCGGCGGACGCCGGCGAACATCGGCGGCGGACGAACGACAGAGCGGAATCGAACCCGCTCTGATACCAACTTGAATATTAGGGTTTGAGAAAAATAGTGTGTGTCTCACACACTCTTTTCCTTTTTTATTATATATAACATTGAGTACATAGAATATATAGAAGAAAACCCTAGGAGGCTAAAACATACATCAGACATATATGAAAGGAAACAATAATACAAAATACAAAGGCTTATTAAACTATTCTAACAGTAACCACAGGGCTAATGATTAGAGTATTTTCAATGAAATTGATGACTTTGTGAAAGTTTAAGAACAATCGAAAAATGGCACCATGGTGGAGTCAAATGGCAAAGGCATCGCCATCGTAGAGACTAAGAAAGGTATGAGACTCATTAATGATGTTCTACTTGTTTCTCATCTTAAAGAAAATCACTTGAGCATTGGTGAAATGATGGAGATAGGCTATGCTTTTCACTTTAAAGGTTAAATGTGCATTATCTATGATAACAAAAGACGAGAAATAACCCAAGGTAAAATGGAGAAAGAAAATAGAGGTTTTCCAATAAATTTCAAATATGTCACAAACGTTTCCATCAAATCACAAGTGCAAGTTGATGGTTCATGGCAATGGCATCGTAGATTTGGCCACTTCAACACTCATGCCTTGCTATATCAAAAGAATATGATGAGAGATTTTTCAACTCTAAAAGAAAATAATGAAGCCTGTGAAGAATGTCTTCTTGAGAAACACCATAGACTATAGCTTTCCATTGGAAAAATACAGAGAGCAAAAGACTTGATGGAGTGGATCCACATTGATAATTGCAAACCGATGAAGATAATATCGCTTCATAACATGGGTTTACTTTATTAAATAAAAAATAGAAGTCTTCAAAATATTCAAGTTTAAAGCCTTTGTGGAGAAACAAAGTGAAAAAAAACTTATAAAAGTATTTAGAAGTGATTGAGACAAAGAGTACAATCCACACGAGTTCAACAAGTTCTATGAAGATGAAGACATTGGGTTGAAGTAGTTTACACCATAGTTTACATAACAAATGTCCAACCAAGGCAATTCAAGACAAGACTTCAATTGAAGCTTAGAGTGGGAGAAAGTCATCGGCTAAACATCTACGAGAATTTGGATCTATCTGCTATATATGTTCTATTGAAAAGAGACACAAACTAGAAGACAAGACTATTTATTGTATCGCACGCAATCAAAAGGCTACTAAGTCCACTACCTATAAACATTAGTCGAGATGTTGAGGTTGATAAAAATTCTCTTTGAAAATGGGAAGAAGAAAAAGTTGTTAGAAACATTTTCGTTCCAGTACAACAACCTCAAGAAGAAATTCAAGAAATGGAAAGAGATCTAAACATCTATGAAACTTGCAATACATCTAACAAAGCAAATTCAACTCAAATATTATAAGACAAAAGAACAAATTACAAACTATATATGTTCAAAAGTTTCTGAAATTTGTATCAAGGAAGGATGTCAAAACATATTACAAATTTCAAAAATCGTAAGAAAAGTCTAGAAATAAGTATTAGGATTTGAGATAATTCTATAAAAAAATATTAAACTATAAAAACTCTAGAATTACCAACTTACACACACTATAAATAAGCTCTCAAACTTCCAATTGTAAGTATCCTCCTCCAAGCTATCATACAAGCCTTGTACTCCACTAAGTATAATATTTACCATTCAATTTTAATTTAAAATACACTATCAACTATTACTCTGTTATAAATTCTCTCATTCTTAAAAAACACTTATATGGAAAAAAAAAATAAGCTTATGAAATTTCTTATATTTTTCCTCCATAAATGTATATTATGAAATTTGACCTTAATAGGATAAGACAATTGTTTTTAATATCATATTTATAAGAGGAAAATTTTCCCCTACAGAAAAGCTTAATTTTAACTTTTTCTAGTACAATATCATCTTTTATATATGTGTACGTGATAGGGTACTTTGAGCATTAAGGTAGGAAGCAGTCCCCTATGTTGGTTTTTGCACATTGGCACATCAGCTTGAGTATAATTTCTGGTTTTGGTATGAGTCAGAAAGAGACTAAGGAAAGTGTTCTCCGATAAGTAATTTTGATAAGAATTCAAAAATGAAAAATAATGTATAAACTTGTTTAAATATAAGATAGAAGCATTTTTTTAGAATTTTTTTTATTAAAAACAAGAATCATAGGAAAATGAATATTCCTACTTCCCTATAGCTAAGCTCCTTGAGAGATCCAAATTGTTCTATGTCCATAACAGCCCATTTTGATTCTACTCCATAACCTCTCTCTTTCCCCTAATTTCCCACATAACTTGGGAGATAGGGAAGGGAAAGAAACCAAACAAAGAAAAATAGTCATGTGTAATCATGTTTACTTATTTATATAAATAGAGTCTGAATTACGTACCAAAAAAATTTAGAATTCGGAAATAGCTTTTGTCCATATTGCTTCCATAGATGACTGTCTTCAGTGGTGACGGAGAGTGTGGTCGATGTCGGTGCACCCTTCCCCTTCCTGTGGAACAAAAATTCAGGAATTTATATATACATAACATGTGGCTAGCTAGATAATAAAAACGCATATGTGAAAAAAAAATTACATACAGAAAAATTTGATCCATTAATTATATATCCGTTGAATCGATCGGCGAGGAAATAAGGGTTTGTAGAATTAAAGCAGGCAGTACATAGATGATAGATTGATGAGAAAGAGAACACATAACCCTATACTGTGGCTATCTCTTTCATCGCTTTGACCCTGTTGGGATCTGTTCCAATTTACACTGCAATCTCCAGACATTGAATAACTGGCGGAACCCAGAACGTGAGGTGCAGGAGCAGGAGCAGGAGCAGGAGGAGGTGGTTGGAAAGAAAAGACGTTAATGATAGAAATAGCTTGTGAGAAAGATGAGAGCACATTCTCCAAGAGTTCCTCTGGTGAGAGTGGGATCAAGTATGTACCCCCAAGGGGGTTGGGGTTTTCTAAAAGAATCTTGAGTTGGGTAGCAGCATTCTGGCCCTTCACAAGCTCTTCCATTATCAGTCGCTCCTTTTTTGAGATCATATTTTCCATTTTCAATCACCCTACCTGCAGGGTGAGAGTGAGACTAGAGACTAGAGAGAAGAACAGAGAGAAACAGAGGCTTTTGCTCTCCTTCTCCTAATAGCCACGGCGATGTTGACCCGCAACACGGATCCACCACGTACTAAATTTTTTTTCATTTTCTTTTTTATATAAAATATTACTTTTTTTATATAAAATATATATTATTAAATATATTTTAATTACCCGATTGTATCTAATATAATAAAATATACTAATATTTTATTTTTATTGTTTAATTATTTTCTCTTTATGATAAAATTATCTTAATGTTCTATATCAAATTTTTAAAAATCTAATTTTAAATTAAAAATGTTAATATACAAATTAAATTTACAAAAGTTAAAAAAAATTAAAAATCATATGAATGGTTTGAACTAACATATAAAATATTTTTTATAATTATCTATCAATTTAAATTAATGAAACGGAGTATAAAATAATTTTTATTTTTTTAAATAAATTTATAAATTTGATTTATACATTAAAGACTTTTAGTTGATCAAATGAATACTTGATATAAAATATGAATTATTTAGTAGAGTAAGTCTATCAATTTCTTCTTATTTTTTTATTATTATAATATATTATATATTTTTTTACTAAAAGATTTATTACTTCTTTAATCATTAAATGTATCATAATTTAGTTTACTAATATAGGTTATTTTTCAATTTTTATTTTATTTTTTAACTATTTGATCATTTATATGTATATTGTGTTGGTAGGAGAGGATCTATATTAAGAAGAATGAGTGTAATTGTCACACAATTTTTTTTTAACTTAAACATATTTAAATAAAAACATTTACTCTTATAAAAAAAAGTAGACATTGCATTTTGCACTCATAAAATATTTCTGTTTTAAATGAGTGTAGAAATTTAGAAAATACTTAAAGAAAAAAAATTGATAATTTTATTATTTTTATCCTATTAATTTTTACCATTTTATTCCTCTAATATTAAATAAGTCACAAAAGATTATAAAGTGATATTTAAATATAATCTCGAATAGAAAGAAAAAAATAAAAATCATCACTGTATTTATAAGACAATTTAATTTATTAAAATAAGGTATTTTAAATTTTTTACCATAAAAATATATTTTTCGAAAAAAATCAATTTTTTTACTAAAATTGATACAAAATATTTTATTATCCCCACTTAATAAATTTTTTAAATCTGTCACTAATGACAGGTGTTGTGTATGCCCATTGTGGATTTCATAAAAACCTTATTCACATCAAAATTCATCTTTCTAATACTATTGTAGTAATTTAATTAGATCAAATTAGTTACCAATAAAAAAATTAATATTCTCATTGATTATTCATATAAAGTGTACTATTTTATATTTTTCATTTGTCTTATGAAATTTTGTTTAACAAATCTACTCATTTCTTTTGTCTCTTTTTTTTATACACATATATACTATCTCGCATAATTGTGTAGTAAGTAAATGATATATTTGTAAGTTGTTGCGAAAAGATAGAAAATAACTAGGATGCAACTTGGTTTGAGTGATAAAAAAAAAAAAAGATAAGTTGAAATTTGAAATTTTATTGAAAAAGTTGTTTTATGGAAAGTTGTATACAAATAAGGAGGACATCTTTTCAACAAAATTTAAAGTTAGAGTAATGTAATTATTTTAAATATAAATATTAATTAAAGTTAATTTGGATTCGACCAACTCATAAATAAGGTTAGACTGAATCTTAAAAAAGATTACCTAAATAAAATAAAGTCATTTTGGCATATCTCATTAAGGTCGACTTAACAAAATATGAATATAATAATATATTTTTTCCTTTCTTTCAATGGCAGAATTTGGATAGAAAATTTGAAGTTGTCAAATTAATTTTTTTTTACATATGAATTAAATTTGTTTATTAATTACAAAAATAATAGAATTTTTTATTTTTCTTATTTAATTTTATTATAATTAATAATATGATAATATAGAAATAATATATATATATATATAAGAGTATATATAAAAAAGAAGGTTTAAATATGTTTTTAGTCTTTCAAATTTAAGATAAATTTGTTTTTAGTCCCTCAAATTTAAAATTATTGTTTTTAGTCCTTGTAATTTTTAAAAATCTTATTTTAATCTCTCAGATCACTAATAACATATTT